CTGGGGGCCCGCCGGCCGGCCGGGCACAGGCTTCCGCGGGAGCGTGGCGCGCCCCGAGCCGGGCCCAGCTGCTGCCCTCCCGCCCCGTGCCCTGACGCAGCGCCCCGCCCTGAGGGGTGAGTACCAGGCCTTTTCTTCTGTATAGGAGCCCCTCACTGGCTCCCCCGCGCCTCCCCCCTCGGGCGTCCCCCTCCTGGCACGCCGGCCGTGCGCACACGTGATTGGAGGGGAGCCCTCGAGGTGCATGCAAAATAGCATGCGGGGCTCACTGAGCGTGCAACACATGCAGGTTGCCACTGGGAGCCCGCGGCCGGAGAGACACGCGTGCGCTTCGGCGAGTTGGGCACATGCCCGTTACTGCCTGCGGGTCACTGCACACGCGAGCTACATGGAGACAGCGTGGGAGTCGCTGAACGTGCTGTGGGGAAGCTGCATGCCTGTACACACACACGTATGTATATAGACATATATGCGGCTTAGTCTGTGAGAATCATCGAACAGGCTGGAGACGTGCTCGCTGTTACAGGCACACGTTACATGCATGGGAATTATTGCACGAACTGTATGGCAGTGGCAGCTGCTGAGTTGAACCCCACTCCCCCACCCCTGTTCTCTTGTTCTTTCTCCCTTTCAGTGTATTTATGTCTGTCAAAGCTGAGCTGGACAGAAAGACAAAAGGAGAGCGAACTCGTAAAAGGCAGCAGTTGCTCTCGCAGATGGCGATACACACGGATATAGCTCAGTAGCCGTACACAGATTGCCATGTGTCTGCACTACATAGGAAGGAGTGTTTGCATGTGTTCTGTATATACACTGTATGTTTGTGAGTCTGCATGTATTTTGTGCATGCGGTTACAGCTGCGTTAGCTCTTTGTGCCTGTGTATCTATGTGTGATGTAAGGATCCTGTTTGCTTTTCTGTGTGCAGCATAGGATGGAGAGGAGCATGTTCTGTGTGTAACATCCGATGGGTGTTGAGAGAGTCGCATTTCTCAATCTCTTTGTTTCCTGTATCCTTTTCTTTTTCTTGTTTTGAGAAATATGGCTCTCGATTTCCAACTCTCTTTAGATTAGGAAGATAGGCAGGCAGACTCAGTGTGGGATGCATGCAGACAGTCTGCAGTGTCTCTGATATTTGTAATTGAATACTTATTCCTGTGTGTTTATTTTTAGTACTGAAAATAAAGGAGTTGGTATGTTGACCTTTTGCTGATGCATTTGGCTGTAAATAACAGCATCTCTCTTTGAATGAGGTACATGTACATATATGTATATATGCACATACATCCTGTTATACAAATATCTGTACTTTTGTTTTCACAAATAACATAATCAGAGTCTGTTCAGATGTCTTGCAATTCTTCTATGTCAGTGGGAGCAATCCAGTAGGGGGTGGAAAATGAGTATAATTAGTTCCCTCAAAGTAAAATGAATCTGACTGAGTCATAATTAAGAGCCTATCTATGAGACCATTACAAGAGAGAAGCTTTAGACTGGACAGAAGTGGAGGTGTGTGTGTGTGCATGTGTGTGTGCGTATGGGGGGGGTGGGCATTGCTGGGAAAGGGTCTCAGACATCCTGCTCTTATTGTTCCGGAGCGGAGAGGGAGCTTGGCAACAGAGTCTCTCATGTCCTTTTCTAGCCTCCGGGAGCTGCAGCTTGGAGCTAGTGCTGGGCAGAGCAGGACAAAAGCAACACACTGACCTTTTGCTTGATCTCTCTGCATTACAGATTGGCAGATTTGCCATCAGGAGGTTTTAAACAGGATTCCGTGCCGACTGCCTCTTCTTATCTGCAGGCTGCAGCGGGGAGGCTAAGATGCTGACGACCGAAGGCTCCCCCCTGCCCAGGAAGGGCTGTATCATGCACCCTGGCACTTTTTCATTGTTAAGTGTGGCCAATTAATCCATGTGGGAAATGTTCCAGCAGAAGAATAGAGGCACCGTCCAAGCTGTTCATCACTCAGCTGCTAGGAGAGCAGTCAGATCCCTCAGAAAAGCTAAGAAGGATGGACTCACAAAGGGCACTGCTAGACACGGACTCTGATACATTGACGTGACACGGCTAGTTGTCTGTTGGAGTCGGCACAATAAGTCCACGGGGAATATGTTACATTTCCTTGGGTTTACACCATGAAATGGCACCAGTGTTTCTAACTGGACAATAAAGTGTGGTGGATGGGTTTTCTGTAACTTAACCCAAACCAGCATGGCGTCAGGTGCAAGAACAAAGCAGCAGCATCCAGTCTCCCCCAGCAAACAGCACTGGCAGGATCAAACAGAGAACTTCAGGTCCAAAAGTTTGCCGGCTCTGAACAGGTCTACTCCTCGGATTACTACAACACAAAGCATCTTGTTTGAGGCAAAGCAGAGTTTCTTGCACAGTTTCCAAGGGAGGTCTGATCTGAGATGTGGCCTTGACACCGACAAATCAGCTCACATTAATGGTGCTGCTGCTGCTTCTGGGACTGTGTTTTCTTTTGCAGCCTCCAGCTTTTCAGGGGTCGGGAGTTTCACAGAGAGGACAGACTGTAATAACTTTGCTGGCGCAAGCAAAGGTGTTTCCCCAGCTTCCACGTTGCTACCCCTTCCAGGTAGAAAGTGTCTCAGCGTGGTGTTGACAGATTCCCGTTGCTTCTTGGTGTGCATGTGCTTTCTGACCTTCATTCAATCCTTAATGGTCTCTGGGTATCTGAGCAGTGTTATTACCACCATTGAGAGGAGGTACAGTTTGAAAAGCTCTGAGTCTGGGCTGCTGGTCAGCTGTTTTGATATTGGTAGCCTGGTGGTCGTGGTGTTCATCAGTTACTTTGGAGGGCGCGGAAGGAGGCCACTCTGGCTTGCCGTAGGTGGGTTTTTCATTGCTCTTGGGGCTGCACTTTTTTCTTTACCTCATTTCATCTCTCCATCATATCAGATCCAAGAATTGAACTCTTCCCTCTCTAATGAGGGTTTGTGCATGACTGGTAATAATACCGCCAAAGACCATTTGGAGTCACCGACCTGTGTCAAGGACTCAGGTGGAAATGACCACTCCCTCTATGTAGCTTTATTCATTTGTGCCCAAATTCTCATTGGTATGGGCTCCACACCTATCTATACCTTGGGACCAACCTACTTAGATGACAATGTCAAGAAAGAAAATGCATCTCTGTACCTAGGTAAGGCATCTTAGTACAAATATCTGTAAGCATTTTAAAGGGACACCATTGGCTCAAAAATCTAATACTTTTCAAAACATGAGGTTAGTTGCAGATATTACATCTCGCCCTGAGTTTCCTTGCCACTTTTTGTAGCATAATGGTGACCAATGTTCTGTCTTAATCTTTTCCATCCATATGTGGGTTTTTTCCATTCACGTGCGGAATAAATGTTTATGTGCACCAAGTCACGTGCAAATATGCACCACCAATAGAAACACAAAACCTAGCTGTGGGTGCTCTGCTAATCAGTTGGTGGCATTTGAATCTCTCCTGAGTGGCCACACAAGTACATAGCTTACAGCAGTGTTTCTCAAAGTGGTTCGGGAAACCACTGTGAGAAACCTGTTACCTGGCCATGTCGGTTTGTTTACTTACTGGTGCTGTGTGGCTCCCCTTGTCTGCAAATGGTGAATCAGAGCCAATAGGAGCAGGTTTGTGGGCCACTTGAGAAACACTATCTTACAGGGAACACTGGTGACATTTTTTAATTTATATTTTCTTTCCCCTGTTGCTATGGGCCAACTCTCTTATGTATATGGTAATCAGTTAGTGTCACCTGTTTTTGAGAAACTGTGAGACTGACTGCACACACATGCTCTCAAATGTATAGAAGATTGTTTTCTCTAATCTTTGTCAGTTTTAAGTGATTTGGCATTACAAATAAAAGTTTTTCAGGAAGAAATATTTTTTTATAGTGTCCCCTTAAGTAATCTTTGATGATAATGAAGCCTTGTATTTCAAAACTTAAGCTAACCTACCTTTACTGTAGAGTCATAATATTTTGTGAATATTTTGCAGAAGTTCTCATACTTGAATAATATACTTTATTTTCCTAACAGTTATTTATCCTTGCTTAGAAATGTATTTTGGCACTCATCACTGAATTATCTGAAAACTTTACATGATTTCCAAAAAATAATTAATAAAATAATGGGAAATAATCAACCTCCATGGAAATGTCACAAAATGAAATAGCTCCCAAATTTCAACAGTTACACTGATCCTTAAGTCAGTCAAAAATGCATGTCAGTCTGTGTCCTGAAATTCTCTAACCTGAGACTTTGGTGAACAGCTAGTGGGAAGTATTGGGTCACCCACAGAAAACAACCAGCACCTGGCCCTTGGTAGTTTAACCCTGAGATAGTAAGAGTGACCCAGAGATATAAGTTTCAGTGAGGGAGGACATGTGATCTTACAAACAATTGGGTCATGACCACTTAGACTTTGAGAGATCAGAACTAGCACTCCAGATGTGCTTATGGGGGAGGGAAGGCCCTGGTTTCCAAGTTTACAGTAGTGTTTTCCATTATCCTGCATGAAAATGAAACTTGCTTACATTGTGCTGTATTATTTTAAGGGAAAGCAGAAACTGTGAGGGATCGAAAGGGTTGCTAAATGCTTTTGGATGCTCATCATTACTGTTTCTGAAGAATTATTATTATTGATCTTAAGTTAAGTGTTAATTGTTTTGCCTTCAAGTTAACCTTAAAAGCAGTAGTTCCATGGAAAATGGGCATTCATGAATGAAACGTGCCTAATGAAGTGAGAACGTGTGCATGTAATTACTATATTCAGCAGAATTTGAGATCACATGGGGAAGGCCCCAGGATCAGTATTTTGGTTTCTTTTGACCTATTCATCAGCAATTTGACTGTGCACTGAACCATTTTTAAGCAACTTCTCTAGGCAGTGTCTTTAGAAAGCCTAAGGCATTTTGGACTGTGCTGATTTTCAAAAAAGACCCAGTATGTTTTATCACAATCACAAATGATCATAGGGTGTGTCTACACAGCAAAGTTATTTTGGATGGCTGTTATTCCGAAATGACTATATGAGTGTCTACACAGCAATTCCGTTATTTCAAAATAATTTTGAAATAATGGACGGCTTATTCCGACTTCTGTAACTCTCATACTATGAAGAATAAAGCCTATTCCAAAATAGCTATTTCAAAATAAGGCATGTGTAGATGCTCCACTTCTGCTATTTTAGAATGGCTCTGGTGAGGGGCTATTTCAAGTTATTCCTCCTGGACCTCTAAATCGAGATAGCACGTCTACATTAGGGAAGTTTGCCTCAGACTAATTTTGAGGCTTCCCTGCAGCGTAGACGTTCTGTTTAGAAATAAGCTATTTTGGAATAACTATTCCGAAATAAAACAACAAATAGTCTGATAGCACTTTATAGACTAACAAAGCATGTATTTGGTATTATGAGCTTTCGTGGGCACAGCCCACTTCTTCAGATGACCGGAGTTATGAGTTTAGGATGTGCAGACCCAAAATAAATAGGGGAGAGGAAAGGGAGGGGGGAGGGAAACAGGGAGCTAGAGGGAATCAGTAAGTATCTGAAGACTGGGTAGTTAAAACAAAGCAGATAAGAATCAAAGTTAATTGATAGTATCCTTCCTGACATAGGAGTCTACACAAAGAGCTTTTTGCACCTTCTTCGTCTGTTAAGTTGGTAGTGCCCCAGCCAACCTTCATCACTATTGAGTCCATTAGCATGTGAATTGAATTTGTGGATGAACTCTAATTCCAATGTGTCTCTGTGTATCTGGCTAATAGAACAGGTTTGTGACAAGACAGCTACTTGACGATCTTTTAAACAGTGATTAGGAAGATTAAAGTGTTTCCCAATAGGTTTCTGTATGTTTCCTTTACGTATGTCTGATTTGTGTCCATTGATTCTGGAATAGCTTATTTCAAAATAACTGCAGTGTAGATGTAGCCCCTCCTGCTTCACTGGTGTTAATATTGACATGCTAAGTAGCATGGAGTGAGCTTTCTTGATGTTTAGAAGCAAGGTAAGCAATGTGGTTAGGGTCAGTAACCATAGCTTGGAATGGCAGCGAAAGGGGTTTGAATCTTTTGCGGAAATGAGAGTTCTGTGGCAAGCAGAAAAGCACAGAGACAGTCTTGCAAGGCAGAGATGGGGAGAGGGATGTAGCTATATATGGGAAATCAGAGGTAAAAGTGATGAGTGGTGTGAAGGGAAAAGGCTGAGTCCTAAATGGAAAAGCATGCAAGATCAGGGTTCTGAAATTAAGTGTTTTCAGTGAAAGTGCTTCACCTGCCTAGCTGCTCTGAGCCAGGGACATAGAAATAGAACAAATACAATGAAAATCATAGTATGGAGTTGGAGATGTATGAAGAAATGGATGTGAGCCTGGAGTTATGGGACTAATTTTGCTCCGACTTACTCTGACTGAAACATTATTGACTTCACATTCTTTGCTACAGATGTACAACATCTCATAAAAAGGTTTGTTTTCTTTGGATCAAGGGTTCTCAAACTTGACTGCACTGCGACTCCCTTCTGACAATAAAAATTACTACATGGCCCCAAGAGGGAAGACCGTGATGCCTAAACATGTCTGAGTCCCTTGCTTCAGACACGGGGGGCAGCAAAGCTAACCCCAAGGTCTTCAGTCCCAGGCAGGGGGGCCATAATCTGAGTCGCAACACACAGGGCTGAAATCTCAGACTTCCACCTCAGATGGTGAAGCTTCGGTTTCAGCCCTGGGCCTCAGCAAGTCTAAGCCAACACTGGTGTGACCCACTTTGGGGTCCTGATCCATAGTTTGAGAACTACTTATTTATATGCTTAAATTTGACTTTAGGTGCCTAATTTTAGGCACTCACATTTGAACAATTTAGCTTATGAATCAGTCAGTACCAGGATCATAGGGAAAAATTTCAATAAATATAATAGAAGCAGCTCTAAAATTGCCAAAAACCCCAGTTTTATAGTCCAGTATACGTTGAACCTCTCTAGTCTGGCAACATCCGTAGTCTGGCATGATTTTAGTTAGCTGGATGTCCACTTATCATGGGTGTCGCCAAGTTTCCCCTGGTCCCATGAAGTTTGTTTACAGCCACCAGTCCTGGCTGTTTGAGTCTATGACCCCTAAATGTCTTCTAAGAACCCAATAAGCAGTGGAAGTGTTGGTAATGTTGCTAGACAATATTGGTTTGGCAAATTCTCTGGTTCTGCACTGGTCAGGTTCTGAGGGTGCTGGACTAGACAGGTTCAACCTGTATGTCAGGACCTTACAGGGCTATAAGCTAGTGTTGTTTTCCATTGGAAATCTGGGAAATTGCCTCTTTTCACCAGTATAAACCTCTATGGGATTGAATAATATATTGAGCCTCTAAAACTGCCATTTGTTCAGGACTGAATGGTAATTTCTGTCTCTTGGGAAAAGAGAAAACATTTATCTGGGAGGTTCATTAAACTAAATAGGGCCATTTGAGACTTCTTCAGAGGTTTGTACTCTTAGAAAGTCCTGATGATGAGATGGATTAGTAGACAGAAAGCAGGCAAGGTAGCTGACAGTGAAGAATAAATACATTTATCATATGGTCCTGCAGTTTAGACATGTGGGTATTACTACTACTTCTGTTGGACATAACATTCCATTTTCAGTTCCATGCGACTTTGTCAGGACAAGCTAACAAGAGTTAGCAAAATGTATGTGAGGTTGTGTGCATACCGGCATGTGCAAACATAAAGTAAGGGATAACGAGAGACATCCTGAAGAGAAAACCTCCCCTCATAAAAGGCAGCTGGTGCTGTGTAAAGGGTATTTTAGGAGAGAGTGAGGGTTTTTTTAAATTTCAAAATAAAAAGACATGGACATAGGTTATTGCATTTATACTGCCTCTGAGTATTTTCCTCTGAACAATAGTATTTCTTAATGGAGACTTTTTGTTTGTTTTAAAAAGTTCTGCATGACCTTTGAGCATAAGACCTCTTACAACCCTTTAAGTCTTGCCCATTTTTACACTCATTATAATTCTGTAAAGCCCCTGCAGATTGCTAATCCTGACTCTACAAAAACTCACCTTATGTGACTGTGGAAGCTATTTTATTTATTTTCTAATTTAATCTAGCTCATGGTTTGAGTGGCAACAGCATATCCTCTTAAGCATAGGCACGCAAGCTCAGAGTGGACA